CTACAAGAGACCCACTTCAGACCTAGAGACACATACAGACTGAAAGTGAGGGGATGGAAAATGATATTCCATGCAAATGGAAACCAAAAGAAAGCTGGAGTAGCAATTCTCATATCAGACAAAATAGACTTTAAAATAAAGACTATTACAAGAGACAAAGAAGGACACTACATAATGATCAAGGGATCGATCCAAGAAGAAGATATAACAATTGTAAGTATGTACGCACCCAACATAGGAACACCTCAATACATAAGGCAAATGCTAACAGCCATGAAAGGGGAAATTGACAGTAACACAATCATAGTAGGGGACTTTAACACCCCACTTTCACCAATGGACAGATCATCCAAAATGGAAATAAATAAGGAAACACAAGCTTTAAATGATACATTAAACAAGGTGGACTTAATTGATATTTATAGGACATTCCATCCAAAAACAACAGAATACACTTTCTTCTCAAGTGCTCATGGAACATTCTCCAGGATAGATCATATCTTGGGGCACAAGTCCAGCCTTGGTAAATTTAAGAAAATTGAAATCGTTTCAAGCATCTTTTCTGACCACAATGCTATGAGACTAGGTATCAACTACAGGAAAAAAATCTGTAAAAAATACAAACACATGGAGGCTAAACAATACACTACTTAATAGCCAAGAGATGACTGAAGAAATCAAAGAGGAAATCAAAAAATACCTGGAAACAAATGACAATGAAAACACAACAACTCAAAACCTATGGGATGCAGCAAAAGCAATTCTAAGAGGTAAGTTTATAGCAATACAATCCTACCTTAAGAAACAAGAAACATCTCAAATAAACAACTTAACCTTACACCTAAAGCAATTAGAGAAAGAAGAACAAAAAAACCCCAAAGTTAGGAGAAGGAAAGAAATCATAAAGATCAGATCAGAAATAAATGAAAAAGAAATGAAGGAAACAATATCAAAGATAAATAAAACTAAAAGCTGGTTCTTTGAGAAGATAAACAAAATTGATAAACCATTAGCCAGACTCATCAAGAAAAAAAAGGGAGAAGACTCAACTCAATAGAATTAGAAATGAAAAAGGGGAAGTAACAACTGACACTGCAGAAACACAAAGGATCATGAGAGATTACTAGAAGCAACTATATGCCAATAAAATGGACAACCTGGAAGAAATGGACAAATTCTTAGAAATGCACGACCTTCCGAGACTGAACCAGGAAGAAAGAGAGAATATGAACAGACCAATCACAAGCACTGAAATGGAAACTGTGATTAAAAATCTTCCAACAAACAAAAGCCCAGGACCAGATGGCTTCACAGGTGAATTCTATCAAACATTTAGAGTAGAGCTAACACCTATCCTTCTCAAACTCTTCCAAAATATAGCAGAGGAAGGAACACTCCCAAACTCATTCCAAGAGGCCACCATCACCCTGATACCAAAACCAGACAAAGATGTCACAAACAAAGAAAACTATAGATCAATATCACTGATGAACATATATGCAAAAATCCTCAACAAAATACTAGCAAACAGAATTCAACAGCACATTAAAAAGATCATACACCATGACCAAGTGAGGTTTATCCCAGAAATGCAAGGATTCCTTGATATACACAAATCACTCAATGTGATACACCATATTAACAAATTGAAGGAGAAAACCATATGATAAACTCAATAGATGCAGAGAAAGCTTTCAACAAAATTCAACACCCATTTATGAAAAAAATTCTCCAGAAAGTAGGCATAGAGGGAACTTACCTCAAGATAATAAAGGCCATATATGACAAACCCACCACCAACATCATCCTCAATGGTGAAAAACTGAAACCTTTTCCATTAAGATCTGGAACAAGACAAGGTTGTGCACTCTCACCACTATTATTCAACATAGTTTTGGAAGTTTTAACCACAGCAATCAGAGAAGAAAAAGAAATAAAAGGAATCCAAACCAGAAAAGAAAAAGTAAAGCTGTCACTGTTTGCAGATGACATGTTACTATACACAGAGAATCCTAAAGATGCTACCAGAAAACTACTAGAACTAATCAATGAATTTGGTAAAGTAGCAGGATACAAAATTAATGCACAGAGATCTCTTGCATTCCTATACACTAATAATGAAAAACCTGAAAGTGAAATCAAGAAAACACTCCCATTTACCATTGCAGCATAAAGCATAAAATACCTAGGAATAAACCTACCTAAGGAGATGAAAGACCTGTATGCAGAAAATTATAAGACACTGATGAAAGAAATTAAAGATGATACAAATAGATGGAGAGATATACCATGTTCTTGGATTGGAAGAGTCAACATTGTGAAAATGACTCTACTACCCAAAACAATCTACAGATTCAACGCAATCCCTGTCAAACTACCACTGGCATTTTTCACAGAACTAGAACAAAAAATTTCACAATTTGTATGGAAACACAAAAGACTGAACAGCCAATGCAGTCTTGAGAAAGAAAAATGGAGCTGGAGGAATCAGGCTCCCTGACTTCAGATTATACTACAAAGCTACAGTAATCAAGACAGTATGGTACTGGCACAAAAACAGAAAGATAGATCAATGGAACAGGATAGAAAGCCCAGAGATAAACCCACCCACATATGGTCACCTTATCTTGGATAAAGGAGGCAAGAATATACAGTGGAGAAAAGACAGCCTCTTCAATAAGTGGTGCTGGGAAAACTGGACAACTACATGTATAAGAATGAAATTAGAACACTCCCTAACACCATACACAAAAATAAACTTAAAATGGTTTAGAGACCTAAATGTAAGGCCAGCCGCCATCAAACTCTTAGAGGAAAACATAGGCAGAACACTCTATGACATAAATCACAGCAAGATCCTTTTTGACCCACCTCCTAGAGAAATGGAAATAAAAACAAAAAGAAACAAATGGGGCCTAATTAAACTTAAAAGCTTCTGCACAGCAAAGGAAGACATAAACAAGACGAAAAGACAGCCCTCAGAATGGGAGAAAATATTTGCAGATGAAGCAGCTGATAAAGGATTGATCTCTAAAGTTTGCAAGCAGCTCATGCAGCTCAATATCAAAAAAACAAACAACCCAATCCAAAAATGGGGAGAAGACCTAAATATACATTTCTCCTAAGAAGATATACAGATTTCCAACAAACACATGAAAGAATGTTCAACATCATTAATCATTAGAGAAATGCAATTCAAAACTGCAATGCGATATCATCTCACACTGGTCAGAATAGCCATCACCAAAAAATCTACAAACAATAAATGCTGGAGAGGGTGTGGAGAAAAGGGAACCCTCTTGCACTGTTGGTGGGAATGTAAATTGATACAGCCACTATGGAAAACAGTATGGAGGTTCCTTAAAAAACTAAAAATAGAACTACCATATGACCCAGCAATCCCATTACTGGGCATATACCCTGAGAAAACCATAATTCAAAGAGTCATGTTCCACAATGTTCACTGCAGCTCTATTTACAGTAGCCAGGACATGGAAGCAACCTAAGTGTCCATTAACAGTTGAATGGATAAAGAAGATGTGGCACATATATACAATGGAATATTACTCAGCCATAAAAAGAAACGAAAGTGAGTTATTTGTAGTGTGGTGGATGGACCTAGAGTCTGTCCTACAGAGTGAAGTAAGTCAGAAAGAGAAAAACTAATACCGTGTGGTAACACATATATATGGAATCTGAAAAAAAAAAAAAAAGTCACGAAGAACCTAGGGGCAAGATGGGAATAAAGACGCAAACCTTCTAGAGAATGGACTTGAGGACACTGGGAGGGGGAAGGGTAAGCTGGGACAAAGTGAGAGAGTGTTAGTGTATACATGGACATATAAACACTACCAAATGTAAAATAGATAGCTAGTGGGAAGCAGTCGCATAGCACAGGGAGATCAGTTCCATGCTTTGTGACCAGCTTGAAGGGTGGGATAGGGAGGGTGGGAGGGTGGGAGATGCAAGAGGGAAGAGATATGGGGATATATGTATATGTATAACTGATTCATTTTGTTATAAAGCAGAAACTAACACACCATTGTAAAGCAATTATACTCCAATAAAAGCATTAAAAAAAAAAAGATATGGTGCATATACACAATGGAATACAACTTAGCCATAAAAAAGAATGAAATAATACCATTTGCAGCAATATGGATGCAACTAGAGATTATCGTACTAAGTGAAGAAAGTCAAACAGAGAAAGACAAATACCATGTAACATTTATATGTGGAATCTAAAATATGACACAGATGAACCTATCTACAAAACAGAGACAGACTCACAGACATAGAGAACAGACTTGTGGCTCTCCAAGGGGGAGAGGGAGTGGGGGAGGGGTGGACTGGGAGTTTGGGGTTAGTAGATGCAAACTATTATGTATAGAATGGATAAACAACAAGGTCCTACTGTACAGCACAGAGAACTACGTTCAACATCCCGAGATAAACCATAATGGAAAAGAATATAAAAAGGAATGCATATATAAGTGAGTCACTTTGCTGTACAGCAGAAATTATCACAACACTGTAAATCAACTGTGCTTCATTGAAAAAATAAATTAAAAAAAAAACTTAATTCTTTAAACTTTCTCAAGGCAGAGTTACAAAAGAGGAGGCATTATCATACTTCTGATAATTACGTGCAGTCTAAGAGCTCAGTCATGGCTTCAGAGGCTGCGCTGGAAGACCACTAATGGCAGAGACACTAATGTGTTTGGGTTACACTTAGCAATCTGGGTGTTTAATGCAGTTCAAACATTTGTTCCAGGTCACCAGAGGTTAACAAGCCAGTAGTGAGTATAAACATGACTGTGTTTCATTAGCTAAGCTCCCAGGTCGAAGAGCAAGGACTAAGCCCCATCAATAATTTTTACTTTTGTCTAGAAGCAAGAGGTATCTATTGGATAGAAACACTGATACTCACTGTTGTGTTTGAAGATCCTTATGGTTGCACCCGAGAGTCGGGCCCCAAGCACAAGAGATGCATGGTTTAACTCATCGCTTAAAATGAGGCATCCCTGGTAGAAAACAAGCACATGAAACATAGGCCAATAAATAAAATGAAGGGAAAACATGTGGGAACAGAAACTCACTTTAAGATCTATAACACAGATTCTCCAAAACCCTCTTTAATTTTAAAAGTCCAAGAGTTTAAACTGGTGTCTACGTGGATAAAATCCTCTAGAGCAATTTGCTGATGGAGTTGGGGATCTGTTAAGGGTTAACACCTTTTTGAAACATTTGCATATAGTTTTCAGCAGAGGAGTTCATCCAAGATTAAGCACTGGGTAGAGTCTAAAGGATTGATGGCTGGCAGGAAAACTAACATGATTTTGGGTGGGTTGTGGATTTGCTGAGGCTTTTCAATCCCGTGCTCGATTATTTGGAATGGTTTCAGGGCACTCCTACTGGAAGGCAGGGATAATTTCTGCAAAACATTTCAAGCTCTTGTTTTCTGATTCTCATTCCCTACTATATTAACATCCATGTAGACAGAGGCATCACTGCTTTACAGTTAAAAACTTTGCATATGGAAAAGTATGGATGGCAATTCAGTCTGAGGCAAGGAGAGAAAGTCACTCTAATTTACTGCTTATATAAATTACTGTTTGTAAAATTATTTTTCTTTATTAATTTAAAGATTTCTAAATTATGAAATTGCTCAAGTAGGCTCAAAATGCAGAGACATGCAAAAAAATGAAAAATAAAGACCTTTTTTTAATGGACACCCAGAATCTTAGAGTTCTCCCTTATATTTTAGAAATCTCACACATGATACATTTTTAAGTTTTTGAAGCCAAAGCCAGCAAAATTCTCACATCTCCATACCCCAGACATTGTGTGTGTATTTATAATTTTTTTTGGTGGACATTTGAGAGTTACTTGTAAACCTCATGATACCTCACCCTGAAATTCTTTAGCACGTGTCTACTAGGAAAAAGGACATTCTCCTACAAAATCACAATGCAATTATCACACCTTTGAAATTAAACATTAATACAATGCTATCATCTAATATACAGTTCAAATTAAAAGTTTTCCCACTGTCCTAAAAATGTCTTGGTGCCTTTTACAGATGTTTCCTTTCCTTCTATTTTTTTTCAATGCAGAATCCAATCAAAGATCATATACTGCATTAGATTAGTTGTCATGAGTCAGATTTTTAAAAACATAAATCTGATTATGGGACTTGCTTACTTAAAATGAACAAACCAACTCTTCATTTTCTCCAGGAGAACTCCCAACACTCTAGCATGATTTACACTATAAGGATCTTTACAATTTGGTAACTGCCTTCACCTCTGGTCTCTTTTTCATCCACTCTCCTACATTCTAATTCTTCCAAACCTCAGTTCTTCACACATGCTGCTAACTCTTCCTTGCCTTAAGAAAATAACTTAGTTACCTAAACAGATAAGTAACCGATTCTGTTCCCATGTCACCTACTTTGCACAATCATCTCAGCCTTTCTCGAGAAGAGTTAGGGGACAACTCTTGTCCTTCTCCATTTATGGGCACCCCTTTTCTGTGGTATTTATCCTATGCTACTTGGTGTGTTATTACCCCCATTAGAAACTGCATGAATTTACAGGGCAAAGGTCTTGCTCATCTCTGTATACTCTGTAACTTGCCTCATATGAGAACACAGTAGATTCTCAATAAGCGACTTATTGAATGAATAAAGGGGCAAATAACACGAGAAAAAGGTTTGGTTAACATAAATGCTTAATAAGCATTTGTTATGCTGAACATGGTGACTCGGGGGCCTAAAAATTTAATTGATTTTGCAAATCTGTCACTGAAGAGGAAGTTTGACTCCCATCTAGGGCTGCAATTCTATAACCAGATATCATGATGAAGAGATTTGCTGGACTCAGCTAGTACTTAGACAGGCTGGGACCTGGGACCCTTTGCTGCAATGCTTGCACCTGGACAAACCTCTTCATCTCCTTGTGCAACAAAATACAAAGAAATTATATGGGACTAAAAATAACTGTGTGCTTGTGCAGTTGGGGCAAATTATGGACAACAAGATACAAAAAGACCAAAAAACCCAACTGCCACTTCTGAAGAGCCAGAAGCAAAAGCAGGGTACCGCATATGCCTCTTGCACACAACACCACCCAAGCGGTGGGCAAACCTCCTAAGCCACCCCTCTGGCCTTACCCTGGGACCTGCCCTTACCCTCACCCCATACGAGGAACTAGCTCGCCCCCCTCCTTGGGGGCAAGCTCCCCCGCTGCTGAAGCAGGGGCCCCAGTAAAGCCTTGCCTGAATCTCTTGTCTGGCCTCTTATCAATTTCTATCGATTAAGGAGGCCAGGCACCCTGGTCGGTAACAGTACATGTATTCAAAAAGCTGAACATCCAAGCCTAAGAAAAGAAACTTCTCAGTCATACGTCTAACAAAGGACCTGCTCAGAGTTATGTCTTAGGAATAACACAGCAGAAGACAATTATGTTAACAAATCCTCACCTTTCCAACGAGTGCAGGGATATTCATTGAGTTCGTTGCAAATCCCATCCCAAAGACCATAGCAGCTTCTACCTTCAGGAACTTAGCCACAAGGTCCTCCAACTCTTTATGTTTATCCAAGGTTCCTGCTCATGAAATGACAGGATGGGTGAATCTCCTGTTCTCAACAAGTCCGAGATTGAAAACTCAAATTCCAATGCTTACCCATTACCAAAAGACACATACAGGAGTGCACATAGCAGGTCTATTTGCCATAGGCCAAATCTAGAAACAACCCAAATAACCACACACTGTAGAATGGATCAATACATATACAGTAGAATTCAACACAGCAGTGAGAAAAAACAAACTAATGTCCCACACAACAACATGGAAAATCTCACAAATATGTGGTTGGGAGAAAAAAGTCAGACATGTATACACTCATATTGTATGAATCCATTTATATGAAATTTACAAACAGACAAAACTAACCTGTAGTGTTAGAAGTCAGTGAAGTGGTTACTTTTGTTGAGAGAGTGGAGAGAACTTTGAGATGCTCTGTTTTGTTTCTATATCTGGGTGCTGGTTACATGGGTATGTTTGTTTTGTGAAAATCCATTTTATACTTACGATTGGTGCACTTTTCTCTATATATAATTTATAATGCAATAAAATTTATAAAAAATGCCACAGTTCCTCTTTCTTTCCACCTTACATCCCATGAATAATTAATTAAATTCTAACTCCCTCAGAGGGTTCCTGACACTCAAATGCAAACAGAGCTCATGACTTCCATACACGCACTGAGCTATAATTTATTGAACCTTTGGAATGTGCTAGATTTCAAAGCCCACTATTTAGGTTATCTCATTTAATTTTAAGGGCCCAATAATGCATGTATTATTACTTTACAGATAAGAAAACTGAAGTGGGAAAAGGTCATGGATAAAAAGCAACAGAGATACTCAAGTCTAACTCCAAAGTTCATAGTTTTAAGACTCTACTACCTTTAAATGCTTACTCTCTGACCCCTTCTTATAAATAATCCCTCATGCCTTACTGAGAGTAAATACTAATGTTTCCCATAGTCTTGTTTGCCATCACTCTAACTTCTAGATCTATACTGTCCACTATGATAGCCACCAACTACATATGGTTAGTGCAACAGAGGAACTGAGTTTTAAATTTTATTTAATTTTAGTTATTTTTTTCCACTAAACACAACTTTACTGTTTTGGTAGGATTATTTCCCACTTATTTCACTTTAACCAGTGAGAATTTGGTGTCTGAATTGACATGTACTGTTAGGGTAAACTATCCACCATTTTTTGAAGAGAGAACAAAAACAATAAAAATAATATAGTATAGTTCCTTAATATTTTACTTATTGATTACATGTTTAAATGACAATACTTGGGATATATTGGATCAAATAAAATGTATTATGAAATTGTTTACCTGATTTTTAAAAACTTTTTAAAATGTGGCTACTAGAAAATTTTAAATTACACGTGTCTTACATTATATTTTTATTGGTCTAGATGATACACTTAACAGAATAGAAAAAATGTACAAGTGGACAGGAATTTGCATCCATCCATATGCAGATTTAACTCAGATTTAAGTTAGAGGAATGTTGTTAGCATATCTAGGACTATTATAAACAAGCTTCTATTAATCTAAAGATTAACATATATTACTACAGAGTGTGACATCAGAATTTTATTTAAATTGGTAAATTAGCTTGCTTATTGAGCTAAAATGGTGAGGAGTTGAACTTTAGAAGGCATTGCATGGTGAGTTGAAGTTTTATTTTGCATTTAACATAAAAGAGAACACGAGGTGGCCCATCTTTGCCCTTCCCCTCTCCTCACGCTGCTGGCTGGTGGCCTTTTTCTCAAATCAGAATTCATTTATGCTCCAAACTGTCAGAAAACATAGTAAAACAAACATTCTAGCAGAGTCAATTGTACTCAAGATTTGGGGGTGGGGAATAGTTAGAAATTTAAATTGTAATTTAAAACTTTATTATCCAACATACACTATAGTGTGAAAAGAGAAACTGAAATTTAATGATAAAACGTGGGCCCATAATCTTTTGTCAGATTTGTTTTTACCCAGCAGAGACTGCATTCCAAAGGGAACACCTCCAAGAACAGGTAGTGAAAAGTCCACCGGCCTGGCCGTGAGGAGAGCTGGTTCTGACCCCAGCTCTTCCACGAAACAGCTGGGGGGCCTCTGGCTGCCCCTCCTGGCAGTTTCTGGAGAGATTGGGAGAGGTGCTGTTTTAGGCATCTTTGCCCTTGGGAGTGGTCTTTCCTCCACCTAGAATGGTCTTCTGGCAGCTCCTAGTCACTCTTTGAGATCCACCTAACATGGCCTCTTTTCTCGGATGCAGTTTCAGCTTCCCCAGGCAAACTTGGTCATTTTCTCCTCTGAGGTCGCATGAGCCTCATCACATAATGATTATAGCACTTAGTAAGTTTCACTGGGGATGTTCATGGGGCCATCTGCTTTATTACAGAAAGAGCTCTTGGAGTGCAGATACTGGGTGTGCAGATACTGGCACTCCTATTGCAGTACTGACACATAGTAGGTGCTTGCTGAGTTGCATTCTGTCTTTTGATGGAGAAGGAGGCCAAGACTGAGGCTAGAGGAAGGAAAAAGGTCAGGAAGTCATGTGATGCCAGAGCAACAAGGCGACCAGGCAGTGAGCACCAGCTTGGAAACACCGACACCTGAAGAAGGTGTCCAGCAAGGATGGAGGGTGCCCAAACATTGTTAACTTGGTAACTTTCCCCATGAGCCTTTCCTGCTCAGATGTCAGGGGACAACTGTGTCCTGGCCCAGTCACCCAGAAGTGCATGAGTAGGCGTTCACGATGAATCTGAGTGATGTCTTCCTTCACCTACATCTTCCCCAAATCTGCCATTCCAAGGCCTTATCTATAACAGTTACATCACTAAAAGTCCTTAGGATAATACAGGATGTCTTGTAAATGATTAAACAGCCAACCAACTAATTAGACATGGGTGTGTCTAAGAACAGCCTGAGGAATCCCCCTCTACGAGGTCTCTTTCATTATGTTGACTTAAAGAGAGGGAGAAGGGGGGGGAAAGCAGGTGACCAGATTAGGTCTCCAGAAGAAGCCATGCTTTGCAGCGTTAGACTGGGCTGGTCTGGGATGGGGTGGGGTTTTTAAGGAAGAATAGATAATATGTCTCTTTCATATTAATGGACTGCTGCTTTCTGCCTCCTCTTCCTCAAATTCAAGAAATAAAAATGTAGGAATTAACACAACATTGTAAATCAACTATACTTCAATAAAAAATATTAAAACTGAAGAAAAAAGAAATGAAAATGTAGGAGGACCTTGGGGAAACAAAACTGTCACTAGAAACTTAACTAGCTTGTTTCCACCAACATTCAAGCCATACCCTGATTGAATGGAGATGCCTGAGTCCTGTCAAGTTTGCCCTTGGTGGTCTGAGTACTTGAGGAATTCTAGAAATCATATTCAACATTTTGTTGCTGACATATAACTGTGGGCCTTTTTTTTTAAATCTCAAGAAAGCAGAGCTATAGTCCTAACTGACGGTACAAATATAATCTTTATTTCTCTGTGACTTTTGTTTTTTTCTTTAGTCTCTGAAAGTCACATATAGGCTGGTGAGAATGGATCTCCAAATTTCAGTGTTGTGCATATATTGACACTTGTTCTTATCCTGGAGGTTTATTTATCCAGTGGATACTGAAAATCTGCTTTGTGAATAAAAGAATAAACACAAGCTGGGTGTATCCTCTTGCCAGATCTCTCAGCAGTATTTTCACATGCCAAGCACAGGGTCTGCCACCATCAGTCAAATCAATAAAATTCAGACTCAGGAAAAAGTAGCAATATTATGTTTATGAACTCTACATTTCAGCTGATTTTTTTAATGATATCGGCCTTCATATTGACACTGATTAATAGTAAAGGGTGTAGGTGTTATTAACAAGCCTGTTTCACAACCACCTAGTCTTCCTGTGTAGCACATGTGAAGACTAATTTCCAAACTGTGACAGTAGTCTCTTTTCGTTCAGAATATCCCGTTTGTTGATTGTTCCTTAGATGTGACCTAGGAGTAGGTGGTCATTTATTGTGGCAACATGCCAGCCATCTCATCTGGCTGTTCCTACTGTGCTATGGCTCTCAGCCCACTTCTGAGCCACTTTGCTTGAACTGGTGATTCCTGCATTAAAATCAGCATCAACCCTTCTGCCTAAAGGAGTCCACCTTTCAGCTCTTCACCCAAAAGCACTTAGAATACCCTGTTCTTCTGCTTATTCTGCTTGTGTACAGTCTGGTAGGGGTTACAGAGCTACTAAGCCTCTTGAGTACCTTTGTTTTCCTGTGAAACATTCAGAGAAAAGTCTTGAAGCCAGATGGGTTGTCTGAAATGGGTCTAGAACACACTGTCACACTGAGCAGAGGCCACCACTCCACTGCTGGGTCAAGAGACCACCCATCCTGATGAAGTTCAGTAAAACAGCAGAAACAATTTTTATCTGCCCAACTTCCCAGGCCTTTATTTTTAGCAAACCACTTGCCATCTCTTGGCAGGTTAAAACGTTAATAGATAATTAGAATCCGATGCAAACAAAAACCTTGAGGCGTGGATATGTAATTATGATGAGCTTTCCTGTCACAAATCATCTTGATAAGAGAAGAATTTTTAAGTGGACCAAATGATGACCTCTACCTCACCTCTGACCACATACTCAATAGAGTCATGATTCACCCTTCTTTTTTTCTTTAACATTTTGTTTTGATGTAATTTTTGACCTACCAAAAAGTTGCAAGAATAGTACCAAGAATCCCCAAATACTTTTCACCCAGATTCCCCATACGTTATCATTTTAGTACGTTTCTTTAAATATCATTCTCTCTCTCTCTATGTGTGTGTGTGTATGTATATATATATATATATATATATATATACATACACACACACATGTGTGTATATAATTATATATAATATATACAATTATATGAAATTTTTTGCTGAACTATTTAATAAATTGCGATCATGATGCCCCCTCTTCTCTTAAATATTTCACTCTGTATTTCCTAAAAACAGGGCACTCTCTTATGTAACGCCAG